GGTGAACCTTGCCAGTCTCAGCAACCAGGCTACAACTCGTCAAAGAGACAAGTGAAGTCAATCCCTTTATCAACTTTCTGTCGAGACGGTTATGCTATCACTCATCGTTTTGTCATGGTCCCTGATTCCATTCCTCTAGCTTCGCCCTCGTCCTATCACAACTTTTGGCATGTTTTTATTTCACAAGGGATGTGACAAATTTATCGTGTCGTCATCACACCTGCTGTTTGCCTTGCTCCCCTCCCTTTCGAGTGGCTGATCCTGCTCTAGTCTCTTGTCCGGATCTGCCTAATGGGCCCGTAGGTCCGTTTCTTATCTTTTTGGCTGACCGATTTCACTCGGATTCAGCCCCTGTGTACTTTTACTCTAGATACTATTTCTCAAGCCTTCAGTAGCACGTACAAAGTCGCCTTATCGTCAGAGCGCCTAGGCTCTGGTTCCCATGCCTGCGGTTGTTAAGCCTTACGTTCACGCATGATCTCCTTGATTAAGCCCGTGTACCCTGAGCAAATTGTTGGCGTCTATCTCTGGTCGCCTGCTGCATCTCAAGTGGAATTTTGACCCAATCTCTCTTCGTAGTCACGTGAAACGTCGGGCCCCCAAGTTGTAGAGGTTATTTGACCTTGTTTTCGCAAATCGTTCATATTGGTAGGAAGACCTAGAAGAACACACTTAGTCCGGAGTCCATTGTATGCATGATCATTTCCAAAGTCGGACTTTGGACATGGTACATTCCCAGACGTTTCGCCGGCATCGTCAGTGAGTCTCGCCATTCTTAGCACCATAATAACTCGTCAAAGAGACAAGTGAAGCCGATCCTTTGACCAAACGTATGCGAAACAGTTGTGGTATCTCCCCTTCTGCCCTGGGCTATTCACATTTCCTATATCCTCCTATCACGCCCTAACTTACAATTTTTACCGTGCTTATTTCGATGTACTATAGTGTGCTGCTTTGAGTGGCATTCATAAAAACCCTTCACACTCCACACTGTCGTTCTCACCCCCTTTACAATTGTGTTGGGAATGTTAATCAGAGTCTGCCATATTGTTACGCAGACCTCCTTCCATAGGTCTTATCACATTCTCTCTCTCTTATCACATTCTCTCTCCTGCCCCGTAAGATCCGTCTACTCTTGCCCTGGTTCATGTATTTCCCTCGACCTCTGCCACCCCATCTGTGCTACTCGATCTTACGGAACTGTGATAAGACCTAGGGAAGGAGGACTACGTAACAATATGGCAGACTGATCAACATTCCCAACACAACGGTGAAGGAGGTGAGAACGACAGCGTGGAGTGTGAAGGGTTTTCATCAATGCCGCTCAAAGGAGCACACCACACTACATCGAAATAAGTACGGTAAAAATTGTAACAGTGAAGGCGTGATAGGAGGATATAGGAAATGTGAATAGCCCAGGGCAGAAGGGGAGAAGGGGCTCCGGACTAGGTGCGTTCCTTTAAGTCTTCCTACCAATATGACTAAGTGCGGAAAACAAGGTCAGACAACTTCTATACAATGAAAGGAGACTGCGACCACGCAAAAGGCCACACCATCTTGGTGTTCATACCCCCAAGTTGTAGTTGTATATTCGAGCTGACTAATCTCACTGAAAACGTCTTTGCTTCATTTTAGAAACCTCTTCACTTTCTTCTTCCTTGCGATCCCCTTTCCTCTGGTTAACGATTGATCCAGGCGTCGCCTTTTTGCATCCCTGTTTTCTCCGAGTTCGATTAGGCAATAGAAAAAGTTATTACTGACTGCCTTCTTTTAATCTCCTGTTTATTAAATTTTTCCCCTCAAGAATGTCAGTTGCCGCCCTAATCTGCCGTATTTATGCTTTTATTGTATCAGGTGCTTCTTTTTGTTGTTTTCCAATTGATCTTGTGTCCAGTCTCTGCGATATGTCTTTGATGCTTTTTGATTCGTATGCCGATTTTTCTCCCAGTTTCGCCGAAGTATTTCCGTTCGCAGACACAGTAAGCTTCTGTGAAATCAAACTTATTTACCCTCTAAGGCTCCTTGTGTAGCCCTGTAAAGAGTGTTGTTTTTTCCTTCGTGGTCACCTGAATATTCTATTTTCTTTATATTGGCCGTAGTTATTGAGCTAGTTCATATGAAGGGAGGCATATCCACTTTTGTGAGTCTTTCTCCATCTTTATCTTTCCACTGCAACCAATAGTTCTTATGTGGTACCTGGATGATTACTTTGCAATATGATCGCATGGAAAAGAAAAGTAGGAGGATTTCCTGAAGTTTATGAACGGGGTTGATGAAAAAATCAAATTAACAATGGATGTAGAGGAATAGAGGCGTTTGGCCTTTCTAGATGTGGAGATTATTCGCTCTACTGGAACACTCAAGAGGAAATTGTTTCAAAAAAAAGTCATATGCCGGAAAAATACTCAATTTCGAATCTAATTACAACTACAGAATGAAGGTAGGCATACTAAAGAGCATGATCATCAGAAGCCTATGCTTAACGGACATGGAATTCTGGGATGAAGAATTGGAAAAATTGACTCGGATATTCCTCGGTAATGGATATTCGAGAAAAGTAATTGAAAGAAACATACTGGCCGTGAAGAGCCAGTGGCAGGACGGAGATTATGAAAGAAAGATACAGATGGAGGAAGACTCACACAAATGGATATGTCTCCCTTTATGTGAACTAGCTCAAAAACTACGACTAATACCAAGAAATGAAATATCTAGGTTACCATGAAGAAAATAACAAAACCCTTCACAAGTCTACTCGCGCAGCATGAGAGGGTATTGATAATGTAAATTCGCCAAAAGTGCACATCTCTTGTGGAATATAAATATGTCAGAAGTTGTGATAGGACGAGGGTAGGAAATGGATAGAAGGACCAGGACAAAACGATGAGTGATAGCATGCCTATCTCGGTAAAAGGTTGGTCAAGGTATTGACTTCACTTGTCTATTTGATGAGTTATAGGCTGGTTGCTGAAACTGGCAAGCTTCATTGATGATAACGACTACGATGCCGGCGAAACGTCTGGGAATGTACCAAGTCCGCGGTCCGACTGGAAATTATCATGCATACTATGGACTCTCAGTCTTCCTGCTAATATGAACAAGTTGCGAAACGAAGATCAAACAACTTCTATATAACGAATGGAGACCGCAACCACACAAAGGGCCACACCATCCTGTTCTTCATACCTTCATGCTTTATATACTTCGTGCATTTACTCACTTGGCTTTAAATCATCCTTATTGAATCTTTCCTTCCGAACCTGAATAGGTACACTTTGGTGGTACACCTCTTCAATCTCCGTGCCCACTCTCGAGAAGCTAAGGTCCATGCCAGTCTGGCCTATCTGAATCTTCTGCGTTCTCGCCTTGACGTTCTACTCCCTTCAAAAATAACTTCAGCATCCTTTCCCGTCAGTGCACCTCGGAACTCACATCGCATCCGGCAGATGATTGATGTAGGCTACATATTTAATTGCCTACTTGTCTCTATGGGTGCTTGTCCATCTAATATAATACCTACTCCACTTTGCCTTTCCACCACATCAAAGAGCCAATAGAGCTTAAAATTTAAGGATAATTGTCACAACTTATTTGCATTTTTTGTCTGAATTCCACAATTATTCTTCTTTCTATTTTATATTTTAGGAGCGAGAAAAACAATTGAATGAAATCCTTCATGAAATAGCTCATGATCGTGATCGAAAGAGAGTCATTCGAAAGCGTCAACCATTACCAGTGATTACTGTAGTCGGCTACACAAATGCTGGTATGTTATGTCACTTTTTTGCTATTACCTATATTCCTCTTTTTCCTATATTTTGTATCAACTTAGTGATTATGCAGTTAATAGGAACTGTATAATTGACTCTTTAAGAAACAGCTTGATCGCTTAAAGTTCGGATTGCTGCCCAATTGTGGATTCTTTAGTGTATGTTGTGTTGCCCCTAACCTCATGAGCTTTTCATTAAATTCCTTCGAAATCGTAAGCACTTTGTTAGAACTGTCTTTATTCTGGGATGAAGGAACAACTAGAACGATCAGTATTTTAAAATTAACGAAAAATATTCTCTGGCCTTTTTCTATATTAAATCGTAGATGTTAAGACTAAGAGGACCACAAATTCGGTTGCATTTTACTTTAGCTTTATAGTATTGGTTTGACCTCGTTTTTGTTACCTGGCCGGAGCGACAGAGACCTTGTGGAATGTACCTAATTCTGCACCCCATGATTTCCAGTATCGGACCGTTCACTTGGTACATTCCCAGAGTGTATTGGTATTGATATCTTGGAATGTATCAAGTCAACGCTTGGATGCTCCAAATTGTCATGACTACCATGGCAGAAGGCGCGGAACTAAGTACATTCCACAAGGTCCTATTTGTCGCTCCAACCAAGATGTGTAGACGAGGCCTCCTTTGTCTACTTCGGTTCTACCAATTGGGGCTACCTTGTCTAGATTCGGCCTCCCATCTATCAAATGGTATCGCAATATGCCTCTTGTTGCTATTCTTGCCCCACTAGAGGTTTGCAGATTCGTTCGTATTTTTGGCTGCGTTAACGCTCATATTGGATGGGAACTTTTTACAGCTCTTATCTGTTGTTAACTTATCAGCTGCACTTCTATTTGCTTAGATTACTAATCTTAACATAGTATTTCAGTTCTTTGCTTTAAATAATAAGAATCTGGCCTTTTTTTGAATCAAGGCTTATCAAGTGGATTGCTATCCTTAAGCACAATATTTTGTCGTCTACTGATTTGAGAATCAGTCTATAGGACACCGTAAGAATTAAAACTAGACTGACTGATATGTGAAGCCTTATAGCACAGTAGATTTTATTTTAAATAAACTTTCAAAAACTACTGTAAACTTAATCCCTCCATTGCTTATTCCCCTATCCTAAATCCATCGGTACAATGTTGCGTTCTTGTTTTAATCATGTGATTAAATAATACTGTAGGGCCAATATTTTGTCCACTTCAAGTACCTTCTCGTTTGCATGCTCTTCAGTAACGTCATGGACTTTAATTATGATTAAGTTGCTTGTTTAATATTATGATATGCTTTTGTTGTGAATATTTATCTGATTTTACTAAGCTACTTATAAACTAACATTTTAGATATGAATAGAGGCTGGGTCTAAAAGGATCCTTTAATAGATTGTTGTTGTTGTAAGGGATTCTCAAATTGGCCCAATTGTAAGTATACTAAGGCTTTTTTGTTTTATAAGTAGGCTTTCGCACCGTCTCGTGATCCCGATGAATCTTTTGATGAGCTTTCGTCCTTCATTTGACGGACATCGTATGAGTTTAAAGTCGTTCTTTATTAAATTTAACTAAGCACTACGACACAAGTGATCTGCTGCAATCCTACTTCTTGTTGCCCTACTTTGCCAACTTAATAAGTTACCTCATGATTAAGCTGGTTATTTCATGCTTCCCCTACATTGCAGATAAGTGAATGATGATGCGTGGAGTGGATGTACTTGTGATCTGATAGCTGCACCACACCTAAAGCAGTTGTTTCTTCCCAAGCTCAAGCCAATTTTACAATGAGTGCTGACAACCAACCTTTCCTTCGGAATTGAAAATTACGTTATAAAGAACAATGTCGCTTAAATTAAGATTTTTTTCCATTACCTTTGTTTCGTTTTACACCCCCAAAATACCCGTATACTTAGAACCAATCCATTACATGTCAGAGTAGATTATGATTTACTTGTGCTAAGGCAACAATTATAATAATACTACTTCTAAATTAATCAAAAAAATATTTTCTTGCTTAAGCTTATAATCTCAGAACTTTAAAGACACCGTTTTTAATAGTAATTTTTCTCTTTGTTTGTTTGCTTCGTTTCTGGTTATCTAACCTTCCTCCATTGCCATTTTTTTCCTTTTTTAGGAAAAACAAGTTTGATCCGTCTGCTTAAGCCCCTAGCGATTAAGCAACTCTCCACTCACCCTTCTGTACGAATGGCAAACTCTCCCTTCCATTCTACTAGTCTCGATCCTCCAGATCCCCTCACTTCTTCTACCAGCCAGTCAGCAGAGGAAGATGATGTTACGAGTACTCACCCTGCGGCATTTCTGACGCCTCCACGGCTCTTCGTTTCATCCCATGTCTTTGCGACACTTGACCTTACTCATCATTTGGTTCGTCTGCCCACACCAGAAGAACGATGTTCAACTTCAGAACGACTATCTTCAAATTCTGAGGTAGGCTCTGCTGGCCAGATTGAATCCAAACCATCTGACTTTGCTGTCGCTACAGATGCCGCGGAATCTGCACCTGGCTTCCACGTAATCCTTTTGGACACTATAGGCTTTATGGCCGACCTTCCTGCCAGTCTACTGCCTGCTTTTCGAGCTACTTTGAGAGAGTGCCTTGACACAGTAATCGCCTTCCTCTTTTTAACTCGGTTGTTACCATGCGCATCAGATAGTATAAAGTTTGTAGAGTTTTCATCCTATTTTACACTTATAACTGTCATAACTGGCTTTGGTTGCATTAAAATAACTCACTTTTAATTTCTGAAAGTTTGTAAAATGTTTTTTTCTTGCATACAAAACAATTTTCAAAATTGATTTCCAATTTGGCGAGAAGAACAAATGGCTTCTCATCCCTCTCTAAGTCAGCCTATTTAATGGAACTCTTAGCATTAGCTGAGGCGCTCCACCTTTTTAATCATAATAATGAAGACCAATATAGTTCTAATTTAGGTTTGGTCGAGTCTCCTTCAAATGTATTTAGTCGGTTTGACCTCGTTTACCCAACTTGGTCCAGGTGTGAGGATCACCTCGAAGAACATATCCAGTCCTGCGTAGTTGTGATAATTTCCATCATCAGTAATCTATCAAACCAATGGTCTAATGCAGAAGGGCAATATGCCAAGCTTACTGTTTGATGCTGGAAATTATCCCGTATTCTATGGCCATGGGCGTAATGCTGGATTAAAATAAATCAAGTGAAGTTGTTTGACATTACTACATCCCCCCTTAATATCGTAATCTGGGGGTTTGCCTTGGTAAGGCCACTTCAAACGAATTTTGCACTACCAGCTAGTAACTTTAACTCTGATCCACAATAACGTTTACAGAGTAAATGCTATTTGTTGTATTGCAATCTAGAACAGTGTTCAAGGGTAATGTCTTTTCACTTTATGAATCGTAGCTATCACTGATGAATTGTTACTCTGTTAAGTTAGGCACCTCTCACTGACGATGCCAGGGAAAGGTCTAAAGATATACCATGTCTAGGACTCTATGCTGGAAATTATCATTAATACTTTGTGAGCGCACTCAGGACTGGGGATGTTCCCCAAACAAGTTAAACAAAGGTAAGACCAACACTATACAGCTGAAAGAGGCTGCGACAGAAGTCAAAGTTACACCATCTTTGTTTTCATATCAACAAACTTTACTTTCTTGTTTGGGCCTTATGAGGGGGTTGGCGCGAGCCACAAAATTTGACTTCTAGGCAGATTTTCCTAGATAATTATGATGCTACTAAGCCTTGGTTGTAAGCCTTAGGTTATAATTTCCTCAAATTCCTTGGGACTCTGCACACAAAGTACCAATGACTTGATATTTCCTATATGATTCTACCTTATATTGACTGCATTCCTTATCAAGAGGCATGTGAGCTAAAGAGTGATCAAGGATGGTTTTGATTCAAATGGCAAAATCTCCATGCTTAATTTACCACTGAATCACATTGCACCTTATATTTTGGAACCTTCTGAATAAAGACTTATGTCGAGTCTATATTATTATACCCTTATTTTCTCTTGTACACTTCAGGACCTTGTTTTGCACGTCGTTGATATAAATGAACCTGAATGGCCCCAAAAAGCTGCTCATGTTGAGCGACTGTTGGAAGAATCAAGAAGGGGACGCCGATATCTCGGCATGGGAGTCGCCATTAATCCGCAGCCTCTCAACATTTTGAGGGTGGGTAGCAAGGCCGATAAAGGGTGTGTGACAGTTTATTTTCTTTGTATATATTAATAAAAGCTGGGTTTAGGAGAATACCTTAATATTTTAATATGAATCAATTTTTTATTCCGAAGGAAGGAGAGGATTCATGAATTGGCCTTACCGGAAACCAAAGATTCCCTTGTAGTTGAAACTGTTCGATTATATAAAGGGGTCCTCCAACCTTCCTGCGACTGATAAATCCGTACTGGGCCTTTAGAACAATCCTAAATTGGTAGGCACAGACTTCACAGAAAAATTTAACGTAGGCTATCGGAGGTGGCAGTTAATTCCTTCTTATTTTAACTTTTATCTAAATTTTGTCATGAAGACCTGCCTTTGTACATGCTCTGTAACTAAGACTCTAATGTCTTTTCGTATTTAGTCTTTTTTAATTAGGATCCCGCTGATTATGCTGACAAACTGGGATGGAAATGAAACTGCAACTCGAAAAGTATTTATGCGTTTCTAGATACCATTTCCTTAGTAAAATCTGGGCCTGTTACTCCTTATCGGATAAGACGCAAAGAAGATTTTTGTATTTTCTTGGGCCGTTACTCTTACCTCATTCTCTCGTTTTTGCTCCCTTTTTTTCATTAGCATTTGGAAGCCTGAATCGTCTTTTCCTTCTGACATGCCCCACTCTTCTCAATCTAAAAACAAAAAAATTACTCCATATGCCCCTATTTCTTATCCTGCACAAACACTCTCTCCTCCTACTTCCTCATCCCTCTCTACCTCCCGCCCCTCTCCAGCTCCACCCTCTGTGGATGTCATCTTTTCTGCCCGCACTGGTAATGGCCTATTTAATTTGATCGACTTGCTTGAAGATCGCTTGGTAATCAATGCAGACGTCTGTAACACTGATTGTACTTCATCGGTTCAATCCTCCTTGGGATTTTCACAGGTTTCCGACAATATAAATGGCTCTAGGTCTACAGCCAGACAATGGCACCGACGTACTCTGCTAGTTAATCAAGGCAGCTCCGCAATACAGTAAGTCGTACTGCTTCATATCATCGACTGCATTTATTTGCAATTATAGCACAAATTTATTGTTTACCTTAAAAGCGGAATTAATTTGACGACTATAGGAACTCTAGAATCTTTGATCTTATATTTTAATCGTTTACGATATCCCCTCAATTCACTTATGCTATAATTTTTGTACAATGAAATGCAGAGTGTGTGGAGGTTTCACTTTGTTTTACTAAAAATAAGCTTTCCGACTATAGTAAATTGACTTTCATAATCACCAGCGTCATCATTATTCATATATTGTATCTTGGGTTGATCGTGTATGCTGGTTCAAGTACCGAGGACATGAATTCTTAGGCACAAAAACTAATTTTTGCTTAGGCTTTTGCTTAGAATATCTTATTGCAGCTTACTTTCGGAGCTAAAAATATTTTATCAGAAATTCGTATTGGTATAGTGTTTCTCTTATTATCACATACAAATACTTTATCAGCATATTTTTATCTTATTATTTAGAGACTCGCTCCACTATCCAATAACTAAGCTGTAATTTCTAACTCAGTGTTCGATGAAAAATCAGTCTTCCCATATTTGTAAGGTTTATTTTTGGCAAGAATTAGCGGAACAGGTGACTTGATATCAAAATAATCGAGAAGTCACTTTCTGTAAGTAGAAGCTACCTTTATTTTTGGAAATGACAAAAAGTCTAATCGAGGGTGGTGTGGCCTTTTGTATAGCCGCGGTCTCCTTTTGTTGAATTGAAGTTGTTTGACCTTGTTTTCGCAACTTGGTCATATTGGCAGGAAGTCCTAGAGGATCGCACCTTGTCCGGGGTTCATATTATGCATGATAATTGTCAGAGTCAGACCGTGGACTTGAAACATACCCAGACGTTTCGCCGGTATCGTAGTCTGCATCGACAGTTAGCCCTGCCCGTCTTAGCATCACATTACAACATGTCAATGAAACAATTGAAGTCGATCCTTTGACTAAATGTGTGCTAAACAGTTGTGGTATCTCACCTTATACCATGGGCTATTTATATTTCCTATATCCTCGTATCACACCTTCACTGTTACAAATTTTTACGTGCTTATTTTAATGTAGTGTGGTGTGTTCCTTGAGCGACGTTCATTAAAAACCTGCATACTCCACGCTGGCGTTCTCACCCCCCCTCACCCTTGTACTGGGAATGTTGATCAGACTCTGTCATATTGTTACGCAATCCTCCTTCCCTAGGTCTTATTAGTCTCCCTCTTGGCTCTTAAGATCTGTGATTTACAGGCTAATCCATCACATTAATTATTAAATATTAATTTAATGTTAATAAAGTAAAAAAAATAATGAAAATACGCGAGTTATATTTATTTTTATCTCTTACTTACAAATAGTCATACTTAGGGTAGGGCGCCATGGAAAAATTTTAATTGAAAAAGGGCGCCTCGAATTAGTCACCTAGACGCAGGGGAGGGGTAATAACGCCTCGACTATCATATATGAGGTTGCAGGTGTCGAGTGAAATACTTGAACAAGGGAGATAGCAGACGGATTCTACAGAGCAAGAGGAAGACTCTGACAGGACCTAGGGAAGGAGACTGCGTAACAATATCACAAACTCTAATCAACATTTCCTGCACATGGATCAAGAGAGGTGAGAAAGCCAGTATGGACTGTGAAGGGTTCTCATGAAAGCCGCTCAAAAGGGCATACCACACTAGATTTAAATAAGCAAGAGAAAAAATTGTGATAGTGAAGTCGTGATACGAGGATATAGGAGAGATGAATGGCCCAGGACAGAAGGATAGATGTCACAACTATTTAGCACGAATTTGGTCAAAGCATCGGCTTTACTTATCTCTTTGACGAGTTGTATGGTGCTAATAATGGCAAGACTCATTGACGATGCCAACTACGATGCCGGCGAAACGCCTGGGAATGTACTATGTCTACGGTCCGACTTTGAAAATTATCGTGCATACAATGGACTCCGGACTAGGTGTGTTCCTCTAAGTCTTCCTACCAATATGACCAAGTTACGAAAACAAGGTCAAACAACTTCTATACATAGAAAGGAGACTGCGACCGCACAGAAGGTCACACCATCTTGGTCTTCATATATTCTATTTGACTTTCTGTGTCCAAATATTTAAGGATATTCTAAAATGATAAATTGTCTCAATTTTAAATGCAAGTGTTTTGATACTACACCTGAATTGAATAATGATTATGAAGAAGAAATGAAGTTTATTTTGAATTGCACCTTTTAAGCACCAAAAATCTTAAGTCGATGGCCGTATTATTGTGACAATTATTGGTGTGAGAGTTTGTTTAACTGACCTGATACGGCTTCTCTCTTTTTCAGTTTTTTTTGCATTGATGTATGACTATTTTGGGTTGTTACATCACTTCAATATTAATTTTTAATTCGAATTCTTTACTCGACTATTACCGCCACTCTTATAAAACTTATTTATTCTCTTATAATTAATGACGACAAAACAAATTATAATACACATTTCGAGGCTTAACTTTGACTCATTCATTTCCAAATTTTATTTACTTGCTCAATGAAAATGGCTAGTCAGGCAATTAATATTGCCCTCATGACACAGGAAAGCCGAGTGAATTCTGAGGATGTCCTTAACTTTTATATATGTATATATAGGATATTTATCTTTATTTTTCGAGTTTACAAAAGGCACAATTTATCAGACTTTAGGAAATATGCTGAAACTGACGCATTTTTTCTTCTATGTTTATGCTACTCATCATTATGGTTTTAATGTATATTTCCCCAATTTTTGCGTTCAAAACAGATATTGTCATGATGCTTTGAGAAATCACATGTGGGGCTAACTTGGCATTACGAAAGCTTCAGCAAGATTTATGACGTTAACACATCAGGATTCCATCATTCGTCCAAAGGCTATTTTCTTTCTTTTACCGACTAGATTGTAATGCATTTATTATCTCAGATACTTTGTGAAAAATATAGAAGAAAGCTACCTTTTCCTGCTGAAATGCAGGCTATCAAATTATACATACGAAATCATGCGCCCATAAAATGTTATTTTTGATTGGTTTGGCCATGTTGGTGGTAAAAATTACAGTAAACAGCTGAATTGCGCCAATATGAGAAGTGATAGATATATTGTTTTCTCATTCTTTCTCTTTTATTAGGGGAACCCAAATTTTACATTATTTATTCATCCATTCATTCTCCTGTTTTGTATTATGTAAATGCCGACAGTTATTTTTACTCATCCTTGGTTTATTCTTATTGTAACTGCTTAAAAACAGGTGGCTTTACTCAAAAACCATGGTGACTCGTATCCTCCCTTCTCAAAATGATCCACAAAAGCTTGTCATTGAGGCTATTGCTACTCCGTCAATCTGGGGAAAATATATGGCCTATTTCAACCGCTCAGAGGAAGTTGTCTAACTACGCTATGCTGTCTTGATATTTTTCTTTCTTCGATACAGCTTACTCGCTTTTTATAGATCTATTAGTTATTATTCGATACCTATTAAAATAATCAATACTTTTCACTAATTTTTCCTTCCGCTATCTACACTTATCTGGGCTGTTGTTTGAAACTGCAGAGCTTTTTATGGCCTTGCTTCTCACCGTATTCTTTGAGCTAGCTTTATAGACTAGCCTTTGATTTAAGAAGTTGAGTTGGGTCTCCGAACTTGCTTTCTTATCCTCATCTACTGATTCACCCATTTTGACTAAAGTCCTTGCTTAAATGATTAAATTGCTGAGAGATAAAGATCTCAGATAGAGTAAGTCCTGGTGTACATAGTGCTTTGCCAATTGACTAAGAATTAGATTAACTGTTGAGCAGCCTGGTATAAATCCAAATTTAGACTAGGATTAAATGTCTTAATATGAGGATCTTCTATAACACCTCTTTGCTCTCCTAGAGAATAGATGTTTCTAGTTGGTTGTCACATTGATACCGTGATCCCTTCACACAACTTGATGAAATAGTCGTTCTCTTCAAGTTTTACTAAATCTCCAAATCCTTCTGGACCTGCTGGATGAGTTAGTGTCTATTGCGAATTAATTTAGTGAGAGAGGAGCCCCATATCGTTAGGTTTGATTAAATACCTTTAAGCTCTTTTTTTTTAAAGGAAGTGAAAGAACTTATTTGCTATTTGGTTTTCCAATCCTAATGGTCTACAATATTTTATCTAGTTGACTATTAACTCTGTAATAGGAATGCATCAACTGAATTTGCTCTGGATTTTAGTTATCTTCTTAATGCTCATTTTGTGAACCATCTATAATTCTTTGGGGCTAAGTTCTGTCTGAAATGGGTATAGCATCTTAACCAATGCCTATACTTTGAATCCAGATGCGAATTATTATCTTCCATGAATCCGACAAATGCTTTGTCGATATGATACAATTCAGATAACCTAAAGGTGTCTATTCATGCCTGATCTTTATTTTAGCTATTCCAAACATATATTCCATGCCGGTTGGGTACCCGGGACTTCATGAAACGATGATAACTGCTCACGGAGTTTCCTTGATCATTATTCCAAAATTTGATTCAAATCTTAATCTACCATCATTTCCCTTACAAGTCTGCTATGATCTTAGTTTCGGGAATCATCTAGCTATCCTCCAGATTCCATTCGCAATATCTCCCCTAGTGCTTGCGTATTTTTTTAATTACTGGAAGATAGAGAATGTCAGTGATCCTTT